GTTCGACGCTTGATTCAGACGTCGAACTTTACATGTGCCGAACCTAATTCGTGGAGTAAACAAATATCATATTTATAGCTTAAAATAAGTAGATTGACGGAAGTGGTTTGCAATAACTCAGATGCCCTCTATTTCGATTCAATATGAATAGTAGGCGAAAGTTTTAGAATTTAGCTTCAGAATTAGTTACCAAGTAGGAAAATCTTGCGTGTAGCGTGTTTCCTTCTTGGTTGCTCTGTTATGTTCAGGTAAATTGTACTCCCATTGAAACACAACATTAGAATACTAGTTTTGTGCGGAAATGGGCGCTTTAAGGCAGCTTAAAAGCAAGTTATATAAACCGTTTTATGCTGCCCAGTTTCAGTTTAAATTCCTCTGCGAGAACGCTGCTAGGGCAAAGTCAACGGTCGTCACGCTTCTGTGAGTTTTTTCCGCTCACGGGTGAAATAGCCAATCATAACCGCTGAACATACGTTAAAGGGACTGTGTCATGATAGTGCGCATGTGTGAGCTGTGACAGTAGCTGATTGTCTTTGAACCAATCGGAAGCGAGTAAGATGCACGCGAGGAAATGTACATAATTTAAGATTCATTGTTTCTCGAAGCGGGAGTCTTCCGGGCGTTTTTGTTCGATTTTATATATCCCCATAATTCATATTTATTCTCTGGTATATTCCTCAGATAAATGTTGCAGCAGAAAAGAATATGATTTGACACAAACATTTACTTCCGTGTATTTTTACTACCCACGCTAGAAAACCAGTCTCCGATCCGCAAACAAAAACAATTTGTAAACAAACCTTACTGATCTCTCTGTTTGCCCTATATAAACTTAAAATACCTGCAAATAGATCCTGACCGGTGATAAAAACACACAGTATCGAATGAGGCAAACGTTTTGCTTAAAATGCCAGCTAAATGCGCACTATAATAAAATACGCCATGCCATGCGGTCGGCTAGCGCGATGAACACTCTAGCTGTATGAACACTGTAGCTAAGTCAATTGATACCAGCTGAAAATCGTAGCAGTGTTTGAAAGCAATTCTTAGCGCTTCATCATAAAACGCTTTTGTTGTAATAGTAGCCACATAACGTATAAGTATAAAGATTGTTCTAAAAGAACAGCGCAAAAAAGGCATAAACAGGAGCCCATCACTATGGCATAAATTTCAATTGCTTATCAGCAAATAAAAAAGTTCCTTCCGAGTCGTTGCGTCGGGTGTTCCGTGAAACGAACGTTATCGATTCAACACGTAAAGAAACCAGATGTTAAACAGAACATTCAGACAACAATTTATCTTTAAAAGAGCAATTCTTAAACATCTACGCTCATACAGAAAAGATACAAGGAACATTTCCAGTGAACTACATCAGTAAAGATCGCGCGGACTGTTGTCCGTACTCTCTACTATACAACTACGGATCGGAGTCATAAATTGAATGCCTGTTAAAACGTTTCATGTTCGATGGATTGTTTCTTCAAACCTCATACGACTTCTTGTACAACAAAAGATTGCTGGGTTTTCTCCTTCTGATTCCAGGCACTCGATAAATTAAATTGTTGCAGACAATCGGAAGTCATGTCGCAGATCAGCTTCACTCGCCGCTGCGTCCCATTAGTAGTCCACGGCTGTATCGAGGAAACCCTTTTTAACTCTCTTTACATATTTATCGTTTAAAAAATATCCGTCAAAGGTAGATCGTTGACTGGAGAACGTTAATAGACAGAAATGAAAGCCAGATGACCACAGTAAAGGCCACATTTGATCCGTTTGTTGAACACTGACAACAACGAACATGGCTTCGTGCGGTTCTCCTCAATTACGTCGAATTTTCTCGATAATACTTGCACAAAAATACAAAATATGGCGTTTAAAACTTCCCAAATGGACCAAATAGCTCTTGAATACTGATATTATGGCTTTCTCGGGCGTCTCAGGGTCGATGGAAGAGGATTTCTTCACCAAACGCCAATCTTGAATAACTGTTCGCCAGAACAGAAATCAAGTTGCCGCACATGCGCAGAAGCGTGTCACAGTGCCTTTAACATACTTTATGCATTAGGTTTGGCACATGAAAAGTTCGACGTTTGAAACGAGGTCTCTCCACAGTCGAAATTTCCATGTAGGCCACTCGAACGCAATTCATCGCTGGACCCAAATCAGATGTGTCGAACTTAATTGATTCAAACGTCGATCTTTTCATGTACCTAATTGAAGGAATTAGGTTCAGTACTTGAAAGAACGACGTTTGAACTGGGCCTAATTATTTGGTCAACTGGCTACTTATATTTATTTATACTTCAGTTTATTCGCTAACGCAAAACTTAGCCACTGGGTAAATACATTTTAATTACTTTTATGACAGCAAACATGTATCAAATATGGTTGCACTTAAGTTGCCGGAACGTGAAATTAAAGGTCTGTTGAACTTTGTACGAGAGGTAAAGGCGCACACGACCCAAAGGCCCAAACGGCCGGAGCTTATCCCGATTTCCTTAGCGTGAAACATGCCTAGGAGTATTGCTACTCCCCCCTGGTTGGGATGCTAGTCCATCGAAGGGTTAGCCCCCCAACAGTATGTCGCCGGTACCCATTTATACACCTGGGTGAAGAGAGACAAAGTGGAGTAAAGTTCCTTGTCTAAGGAAAGAACGCGACGGGCGAGAGTTGAACCCCGGACCTCCAGATCTGGAGTTTGAGATGTTAATCGCTCGGCCACACACACCATCTTTGTACGAGAGAGAATTTTAAACCATGTTTACGGAATTAATTTACTCTGTACAACAAAAAAAAACACAGCTCTTGTTCAATCTTCTAAAAACACAATTACGCCGCATACGTCCAAGTTAAAGTCAATATCTAAATACCAATTTCTAAAAATTTTACACTTCACTTTGAAGCAGGTGGAACACAATTCACTACGTTGTGTCGTTCGCGATAGCCGAATTAGGTCATAAATGTCTTGAACTAGCAGCCACACTAAAATATGAACCCTTAAACAGCTGCATCACTGTACTTACCGTTTGAATCATGAATATATTTAAATGTTATGCTTCTAAACACCTTTAGCGGTGATAAAAGACGAGAAAGTTGTGAAAAAACCAAACTTGCGGTCTCAAAGTGCCCTTGTTTGACCTTTAGCGCAGCAATGTCATGTTTAGATGCCAAAATCGCATTGGTTCCTCAGCATCAACTCATAGTACCCCTGACTTTATTGGCCCCTGCAACACACGTCCGAACAGACAAAGCCAATAATCCGCAAAGCCACAAAGATACACACGTCAATTTCCTTTCACGATTTTTTTTTTTTCAAAATGCCGAGCATGAATATTTTTTCTTTACTTTAGAAATAATCCTGGCAATTGGCAAGAATACTTTTTTTCTGAACTACTCAGCATGGCTTGCCAAATTTTTTCACTCAATTTGCTCGTACGAGAATATTTTTTGGTACTTTTTGATACCTTTCCTAACAATACCTCACAGCTTTTGGTGATCATTCTTGTTTATTTAGGTATTAAATCCCTCACTATAGATTGGCTAGTTACTCTCTGAGATTGATGGCATTGGCTTTTTTTCTAGTCAAATTGACAAAATACACCTTCTGAGTCAATGAGCCTCCTATTACCGTACATTAAATGAACCAGGATGAGTGGCCAGGATAAGAATAATTTCCCCACGGCATGTCCTTTGATTAAAACCCACTTTTACCAACTGACTATAGAAACTAAAATTTTTTAGTCAAGTATAATATATCCATTTGTATCACGTTTCTCCCCCGTCATCCTAAAAGACAGGAGCATGTGCAGGATATTTTTGATGGAGGATTTGAACACTATCTACAGTATTGAAACCATTTTACAGCTTAAGCCTGAAATGCAGCCATTTTTGGGCAGAAACGGAAGCGAAGAAACTGCTCAGGTTATGCCTTTCGGCCTTTTGCCAACCTTAATAATCACCCTTTTTAATATCCCCCAGTGTTTCGGTTTAAAAATCTAGGAAGACTGCACATGCAAAAAAAAAAAAAAAAAAAAAAAAAGAAAACACTAATTCCCCCCCTCCATCCGCTTTAAAAAGTTAAAGAGTTAGGCTGCTTGCAAACGGGCGCAACAACTCCCAGCATTGTTGCGCCAACAATGTTGGGAGTTGTTGCGTGCGTGTTGGCAGTGTGCAAACGGATGCAACAACTCCCAACAATGTTGGGACCTGCAGTGCATCGTGGGAAGAATACAAGCCATAAGTCTTTGTAATCTATGCGTAATGAGCGTGCGCGGCCCCAACAATGTTGGAAGAGCTGTGCAAACGGATCCAACATTGTTGCGCTACGCTTCGGCAATCACGGAACAAAAGAAATGTTGGGAGTTGTTGTTATGAATAATGTAATGAATAACATTAAATTTGTATAAGGCCAAAAAATGCTGGCAGTGAGGGCGGGTGGATCTCCTAAGTGTTTTTATGGCAAACAACAGAACCTCACCATCAAATAGAAAATTGACTGCAAGGATGGAATTCACAGTCTATCCTCTGGAAACTACCTGGTTTTGTTCCAGTTTTTCGTCGTTAACATTATCCAAAGCTCTTAGGTTTGTGGAAAGATTAAACAAGACTGCTACCAATTTTTTAAGCAGATTCCAAGCATTCAATAAACGTTCCGTTTGTTCATTTATTGGAATTGCTGTAGATGTCAGCTTTCAGAATTCCTTCATCAAGTGAGCGATAGTCGACCCAAAAAACCCATAACATGCATTTTCAGTAAAATTTTGTAGTCAGGTGCAAGACGTATTATTTTATGTATTGGCAGTTTTCTTTTAGAAATTAATTAGTTTTACTAAGCTAACTTCAATTCTCGATCCCGTTTGTACCCGGGGTTTCCAATTTAATTGATTTGGGCTTACACTAGTATGCTGGTAAACTTTCCACCCACCCCTCCCCTCTCAGTTTAATTAACATTGTGATTTCTGTCACTTTTTCTTTAGTCTCACCAATGATATAAAATAGAAATGGCTACAGGTACATCACTATCAGCGGCATATGAAGCGTTACGTGCAACAGAAGAAAAAGCAAATTTTCAGCGATTGACACGGCTTCTGATGCGTGGAGGTCTCGCACTTTTAAAGGAGGTGTTTGACAGTATCCATTCCCCACCCAACCTTCCAGCTGTGCTTAGTCACCCTGTAATAAAGACGCAGCTCCAAACTCTCAGAAGAAACAGGGTCCTTACCCACCCCGAATGGAACTGCCTTTACAACCCAAGTGGGCCAGGGACGTATGGAAAATCAACCTACTTTGATATCAGCTTACTTTGTAAATTGCTTCGAGAAATATGCGGCCTCACTCCTCCTGCTACCGGATGGGACATTTTGCCTAACAGCACTGATCACAGTCTTGAGGCAGACTTAGCTAGAATTAAATTTTACCGTAACAAAATTTATGGTCACAACCACAGCATGGAGATAACAAATGCTGATTTCAAGAAGCTTTGGATGGAAATCAGTGAGGCACTATTAAGAATTGCTAGCATCATAAGTAGTGCAAAGAGAGATGAGTGGAAGAAGTCCATCGAAAGGTTTTTCCTTGAACCACTAACACCAGACGCAGAGGAATGTGTTGATGAACTTCGATTATGGCACAAAACGGATATGGAGACAAAAGACGAGATCGAAGGGGTGCGTATTACACAAGAACTGATTCAAAAGCAACTACAGCAGATGCAAATTGAACAAAAAGAAAGGGACATGGAAATTCTCATCGTCCTTAATAGTCTTAAGGAAAGTGTGTCAGCTGTCAGTCCATCCGCACGAATGGAAGGCGACCAATTGCCATTTGAACGTCTGGAGACACGTATACCTATACCCCCAGAGCAGTCATCAGCAGAAGGTACTGCTGGTCTATCCACACTATCGGCACTGCAAGCAAGTCAGCAAAACATTCCAGTAGTTCTTGATTTCTGGTATGTTGTTTTTTCATTCAAAAGGCCATTAGAACTCTTTATCACATACCTCAAATTAAAGCTTGGAGTTGACGTTCAAAGCTACAGACTAGGAAGCTTTGTCATAACAGTGTCCTGCAGTTCTTTAGAAGTTCTTGAGGCATTGTGGAACGAATATCGGACAGGCCGTCTTAACGAAGTGGTCCAAGATACCCTTGTAACGGGAGAGGTTCTGGAAAAGCTTGAACTCAGTGAGGTAAAACTGAGAACCATTATTTCAGAGGAAGACTACTTGTCATACAAAGAGTTTTTGAAAAACAGATCAGGTAATAATGAGATAGGTACGCATTCATACAGTACTGAAATAAGCTACAATAATCCAACAGTGAGACGCGTTACCTAATGCGGGCAAATGTAAAACCTCTAAAACCGACATTGCTGTTGGTAATCACGATTAAAACGAATAGTTTTGTAAAAAAAGTCTATAGTAATAAACACTTATTTTTCACCTTAACATGCCGCTGTAAGAGGAAATATACGCGTGATGTCAGGTCCTAAAGGAGACCGTTAGTTACGTTTACCCGAGAGTCCTGATGTTTCTATAGACGTGGGCTCCACGGAAAACAAAACTTCAAAAAAAATTGTTTCAGTAGGGACATGACATAAAGTGTTTTCATGTTATATTCGTAGCCTTTCACTTCAACAGTGACAAAGAATATAGAGCGAATCAAAACAAAAACATTAATTCTGAAAAGCGCTTAATGATTGATTCACAAATTTAGTACTTTCCTTATACTAACTGCTTCTTTGCCCTCCACTATACCTGCTGTGTCTGCTGTATCACGAGCTGTTGTATCCCGAGCAAGGTACAATTGCTGAATTGTATGTACGATCGGGATACCGATTTGAATTTAGTCAAGGCCACATACCAAAAATCAACCAATGGTAGTTTCTGCTTAGTCGAGTGAAGGTCTCGGGATGTAGCAATTTCATCATAATTTCATAATTCAAGATCATGTGTCAATTACGCTGGAATTATGAAGTCACAATCGCTGATGCAAAAAACGGTCCTTACTGAGAAGTGTAAGCTTATATCAATTCCAAACAATTAACCAGATTCACGCACTGCGGAAAATGCTAAAAATAAGCTATTCAGACTCGAATGTCTGAAATTTTGAATTAAAATTGCGGATTTTTTTAGCTCCTTTTTTTACAAAGGTAAAGCGGAAAAAATAACACAAATAGGGAGCAAAGCAATTAAAAGCCTCAAATATACATAATTATATAATCTTGAACAATCGGCCGCTAGAGCTGCGAATCTTTTTTGTATCGGCAATAGTAGCGGGACAAAATTCCAACTTCACGCCTTTCTACAACACAAAAAAAATACATAGGCGATTACGAAGAGGAATTTCGAGATATCTTGAATTTCTTCAGAAGAGGTATAAATCATGCATGAACTGAAGACTGGACTTTATCAATATGCAGACAAATTTGCGACTTTTAGGATGTTTCCGGAAAGATTTCACAACTCATCCGTTTTGCAAATTACCCTTATACATTCTAAAATGCGCTAAACCAAGAGAGGATAAAGGTTTATCCGGCAGTTGCCTTGAGCGTTTTCGAAAAGACATGAAAACATGTGAATCGGGGCAAAACGCGATGCTGAGCTCGTTTTGTAATTTCTACGGCTACTTTCACGAAGACAGCGATTAAACCAAAATTTTAGTGATGCAATTGATCAGTGTACTATAAAATGCCCGATTTTCGTGTCCATTGAAACATTTTGAGTTGCCTAACGTAGGCGCAAAATTGAGTAAATATTGAACTGAATTGCTTATATAACTAACAGGCTAGTGTCAATTTGCGCAAGATCTAATGTGACACTTGACATAGGCTTACATGGGTCGTAGTGGACGTACGGGCAGGCGGGCATACAGTGACGTCCTAACCAAATTTTATTCAGATAGATAGATTACCACATTTTCTTTGCAAGAGGGCTCTCCTCGGGCGCGCGTGGAACTTCGCCATGAACATTCACACAAAGACGCAACCTAGACGGAAATTAGGACTTTATAACACAATGAATTGGTTTCATCTATTCTTTTTTTGTGAGACAAAGAAGTTACTCAAATTATACAAAAATACCCCCTACAATAAACACTTCCCTTTTTGGAGAGGGAGGAGAGGGGCAAGGAGTTTGTTGCACTATTGACAGCCCTCTCGAAATTCGCGCGAAAAACCGTTCTAAAAATAAACTGGTCCGTAAAAACTCCGTGACACGAGCGCATGGAATTTGCTCGCTCCGGGTTATGGGCTCTTGGGTAGTGTTAACACTACCCATTACAGCATTACGGACAAATGTCCTGTTTGTCATCTGTTACTAATTATATTGACGAGCAAATTTGAGTCGAAGTTTAAGTAAAGGTACAAATTGCGTTTTTTCATCTTTGTTAGGTAAAGGGGAAGAAAAGGCAATTCCCGAAGTTCAAGAAAGTCCTGACACAGAGCTTGTTGCAGGTAAGATATAAAAATTCTAATTTATTGACAAACAGTATTTGTATTTGATTTGGTGCATGCTGTCCTCTTATTGATAGAGCTTGAACATGGGCTCCCGGCTCGCGAGTGAAAGGGAAAGAGGGTATACGGAAGCGATATAGCGCAAAGGAGGGAGAAGGGTGGGCAGAAAGCCTTGTTTCAAACCCGAAATATTCGGCAAATAGATTCAGTAACTACAGTAGTTTCATTGCCTTGAATGATGATGATCTCATCGTAAAACTGTTTGAAGATTGTTCCATAAGTAAGCACCACTGTAACTAAAGCTACGCTCAAGGTAGTCAGTTCTTGGTTTCGGAGGTAACAATTTACCTTTAGCGTCACGAAGTTCGTTATTCGAGATTCTCCGAGCAGACAAATTCCAGAAATAAGCTGGGGCAAGATTATTAGTACACTTCATTAAGTACGCCTTAATTGCTTAGCGTTTCTAATCGATAAGTTGTCTCAACCAAGCAAGTCAAGAAGTTGTCTGGAACCAGTGTCATAGCTTGATTTAGTGACAACTCTGACAGCGCGATGTTGTAGTTTTTGGAGTTTATCACTTTTTAGATGTTGCGACAAGCCATTCCAGACAGTACTACAGTAATCAAAGTGTGGTTCAATAAGACCTTACTATATTAAAACTGCAGTGTGGACGGAAACAAATAACCTGATTCGGTTAAGCACACCAATGCTTGAGGAACCTTTTTTGTTCGAGATGTGATGTACGTGGGCCTTTCAAGATAGATCGTCAATATTAAGCCCAAGAGATTTGCTATGAGTTGTTTGGTTTACTTGGACGCTATCCATATCATTGTTTATTGTGTCGTCATTTAAGGATAGTAGTTTCTGCCTCGAGCTAATAATCATTAATTCTGTTTTGGCGACTTTGAGACTTAATTTGTAAGCTTTAAGCCAGAGATTAATGTTTCAATTCAGTATTGATTTGTAATTCGAGATCAGGTGTGCTAGGTACAGAAAAGCTAACGTTAGTGTTTTCAATGTACATTCTAGGAGAACCAGTATTCAAACAGTTTGGAAGGTCATTTATGTAGATCAAAAAGAGAATTGGGCCTGTTATAGATCCTTGAGGTAGAGCACAGTTAAAAGGGCTCTCACAAGATAGGCAGTCAACTACAATGCATAGCTATGTATCTTTGCATACAGGTTTTTTACATAAGATTTGCACCATTTCAAGGCATCTTGGCCAACGCTGTATTTAGTGGGTTTTTTTTTTAGAATAATTTCGTGGTTACTACTGTCCAAGGCCTTCTTCAAATAAATGAAGATTACGCCATCAAGAAGACCTCTATCAATATTGACGTACCAGTTATCATTTGTCTTTCATGAAGCTGTAAGGGTATTATGTAGGGAGAGAAAACCAGACTGACAGTTGTTTAAAAAACCATTTTCATTCAGGTAGTGGTAAAGTTGGTCATAGACAATTTTTTCAAAACTTTTGGCTACGGCAGGGACAATATATATTGGCCGGTAGTTGTTTAGGCCTGACTTGGAGCCATTCTTAAAAATAGGTGACACTTAAGCTAGTTTCCAGTCAAAGTGGAAAATAGCAGTCGGAATAAATTGAGTAAAAACGCCTGTTAAAGAGGGCGCAACCACTTCGGCTGCAATTTTTAGTAGTTTGCCAACATCGATAGCTTTAAGTAATTTGATGACTTTTTGAACATTAATCCGTTGGGAAGAAAATACTCCGTTGACAGGATTTGCATAGGAAAGGGGATCAGTGTCTACACTGGGAATTCCTCGAGCTAGCGATTGGCCAAAATTTGTAAAATGCTTGTTAAATGCTTCAGCTATATCACCAGGTGAGGTAAAAATTTTGTTTTTTTATTTGGGACAATCTAGTTGATTTTTTTGTCGATACTGAAGCTCTTTAATTAACCGCCAAGATTTACGAGGAGATGTCTAAGCATCTTGGTTTTCTTGTGCAGTGCGTTTCTTAGAACTTATTTGGTTTCAACTTTTAGCCTCGCTTTCATGGTAAATTCATTTTCACTGTTAACGACTGTTAAAACACAGCTACAACTCAACATTTATACCACAATTTGAGACCACGAAATACCTTGCCAAAACGAGGGTGCTTTAATCTATCAAAATTCATCGTCAAACCTTTTCTGTCTCCTGGGTTGCACAAAACGTCCCTCGCTCCCAGGCTATATTTCTTGTTTTTTTTTTTTAGTTTCAGTTTATCTCTTAGGTTTCGCACAGGAATAAAATCTTGTTTACGCGTGTCTGACCACTATCTTACCCCGTCAAAACTCTTCTCCGCATCCAACATGGCGTCTTTCACTCGGTTCGCTGAATACTCGAGTGCCTTGTTTATGTCACATACTCTCTCGTACGCTAAACGCAAATTCTCCGTTCCTTCAGCGTTTAGTTTTTTCCGCAATTTCTCCAACGTAGTACGTTGCCCTTTTTAATTCCTTCTTGTAATTTTCTTCAGCAAGCTCCACCACGTTTCGCAGTCAGTAGTATTTTCTTGAGTCTTCAGACATTCCATGTTTGTGCACACAATGTTCGCTCAACAAGCAGTCCTGGCAGGGTCGCCACTTTTGGTGTGGAAAAAGAAATCCAGTGTACAGCAAATAAATTACAAAATCTCAACAAGTTTAATGTCCACAATCCTATCCACGAGTACAAGTAAGGAGTAGTAGAAAGGCGAAAAGCAACAAAGTCAAAATGCTCCCGATACTTATTTATTCCTAGCCAATCAAAACGAGGCTACAACAACAAAACACCTTAAATAGCAATCACGAATGTTCTCAACGTTCTTAACAATGCACCTCTAACGCAACGAAGAAGCCCAAGTATACGCTTCAACAGTAGAGACCTTAAGATTGAAGTTTTTCGGCATTTGCCGCGATTTGCGAACGTCCAGAAATCACGTAACCAGTGCCTTGTCTTCAAAATTTCGGTTTGAGGTTCACGTTTGTACGGCTAGACCGCGCTTCAGAGGTAAGTAATTTACCACAAGGTGTTTTGCACCCTTAAACATCACAATCCCACGTTTGGGAAAAATACCACCTTTAAGAGCTCTTGCTTATTGATTATCGAATTCTATTTTTTAAAAGACGGCGGTAATTTTGAAGACAATTTCTCAGCCAAAATAGAAAGAAGTGGTTGAATGAAAACAAATATGGCAGCCGCGAGCTACCACCCGCGAATCTTAAGTCGCAAATATGGGCAGACGAGTAACGTGAAACCGTTAACCGTAAACCGCAGTTTGTTGTTTGCAGTAAAATGGCTAAACCTAGATCTTTAGTTCTCTAGTTCATTCTTGCCTCCTCTTCGACACTCTCCTCGTTCCTGGCCTTATCACCTCTCTCTGTCAAACGCATTCCCCTAATGTACAATTACTACTGACCCAACTAATTGTATGGCACTAACAAAGATACACCAATTAATGAATATAAATTGTCTCAACGATAAAATGAAACCACAACATATTTATACCTTTTTTGTCAGGAGAGCTGGAATACCAAAGCCAGCAGAGAGAAAAGAAAGCCATAGAGTACCATGAACGACAAGTCAAAATTTCGAAAGAAGTGGGAGACAGGGCAGGAAAAGGAAAAGCGTACAGTAGTCTTGGCAACGCCTATCACAGTACTAGAGATTTCAAGAAAGCCAAAGAGTACCATGAACGAGACCTCAAAATTACTAAAAAACTGGGAGACAGGGCAGGAGAAGCAAGAGCGTACAAGAATCTCGGCTACGCCTATCACAGTATTGGAGATTTCCAGAAAGCCATTGAGTACCATGAACCACACTTCAAAATTACGAAAGAAGTGGGAGACATGGCAGGAGAAGGAAAAGCGTACAGTAATCTTGGCTACGCCTATTACAGTATTGGAGATTTCCAGAAAGCCATAGAGTACCATGAACGACACCTCAAAAATTCGAAAGAAGTGGGAGACAGGGCAAGAGAAGGAAGCGCGTACTGTAATCTTGGCAACGCCTATTTCAGCCTTGGCGATTTCCAGAAAGCCATGGAGTACCATGAACAACACCTCAAACTTTCGAAAGAAGTGGGAGACAGGGAAGGAGACGGAAAAGCCTACGGTAATCTTGGTAACGCCTATGAGAGTCTTGGCGATTTCCACAAAGCCATAGAGTACCATGAACGAGACCTCAAAATCTCGAACGAAGTGGAAGACAGGAAAGGAGAAGGAGAAGCGTACTGTAATCTTGGAGACCTCAAAATTACTAAAAAACTGGGAGACAGGGCAGGAGAAGCAAGAGCGTACAAGAATCTCGGCTACGCCTATCACAGTATTGGAGATTTCCAGAAAGCCATTGAGTACCATGAACCACACCTCAAAATTACGAAAGAAGTGGGAGACATGGCAGGAGAAGGAAAAGCGTACAGTAATCTTGGCTACGCCTATTACAGTATTGGAGATTTCCAGAAAGCCATAGAGTACCATGAACGACACCTCAAAAATTCGAAAGAAGTGGGAGACAGGGCAAGAGAAGGAAGCGCGTACTGTAATCTTGGCAACGCCTATTTCAGCCTTGGCGATTTCCAGAAAGCCATGGAGTACCATGAACAACACCTCAAACTTTCGAAAGAAGTGGGAGACAGGGAAGGAGAAGGAAAAGCCTACGGTAATCTTGGTAACGCCTATGAGAGTCTTGGAGATTTCCACAAAGCCATAGAGTACCATGAACGAGACCTCAAAATCTCGAAAGAAGTGGAAGACAGGAAAGGAGAAGGAGAAGCGTACTGTAATCTTGGCAACGCCTATGAGAGTCTTGGAGATTTCCAGAAAGCCATAGAGTGCCATGAACGAAGCCTCAAAATTTCGAAAGAAGTGAGAGACAGGACAGGAGAGGGAACAGCGTACTGTAATCTTGGCAACGCCTATTACAGTCTTGGAGATTTCCAGAAAGCCATAGAGTACAATGAACGAGGCCTCAAAATTTCGAAAGAAGTGGCAGACAGGGCAGGAGAGGGAAGAGCGTACTGTAATCTTGGTAACGCCTATGACAGTGTTGGAGATTTCCAGAAAGCCATAGACTACCATAAACGAGACCTCAAAATTTCGAAAGAAGTGGGAGACAGGGCAGGAGAAGGAAAAGCGTACGGTAATCTTGGCAACGCCTACTTTCGTCTTGGAGATTTCCAGAAGGCCATAGACTACCATGAACGAGATCTCCACATTTCGAGAGAAGTGGGAGACACGTCAGGAGAGGGAGAAGCGTTCGGTAATCTTGGCAACGCCTATGACAGTCTAGGAGATTTCCAGAAAGCCGTAGAGTACCATCGACGAAGCCTCGGCATTTCGAAAGAAGTGGGAGACAGGGCAGGAGAAGGAAGAGCGTACGGTAATCTTGGCAACGCCTATCACAATATTGGAGATTTCGAGAAAGCCATAGAGTACCATGAACGACACCTCAACATTTCGAAAGAAGTGGGAGACAGGGCAGGAGAAGGAAGAGCGTACGGTAATCTTGGTAACGCCTTTAGAAATCTGGGATATTTCCAGAAAGCCATAGAGTACCATGAACGACACCTCAACATTTCGAAAGAAGTGGGAGACAGGGCAGGAGAAGGAAAAGCGTACGGTAATCTTGGCAACGCCTATGACAGTGTTGGAGATTTCGAGAAAGCCATAGAGTACCATGAACGAGACCTCAGAATTTCGAAAGAAGTGGGAGACAGGGCAGGAGAAGGAAGAGCGTACGGTAATCTTGGTAACGCCTTTAGAAATCTGGGAGATTTCGAGAAAGCCATAGAGTACCATGAACGACACCTCAAAATTTCGAAAGAAGTGGGAGACAGGGCAGGAGAAGGAAAAGCGTACGGTAATCTTGGTAACGCCTTTAGAAATCTGGGAGATTTCGAGAAAGCCATAGAGTACCATGAACGACACCTCAAAATTTCGAAAGAAGTGGGAGACAGGGCAGGAGAAGGAACAGCGTGCTGTAATCTTGGCAACGCTTTTAGAAATGTTGGAGAATTACAGAAAGCTGTTGACTATTATAAAAAGAGTGTTCTTGCCTTTGACTATATCAGGGGAAATCTCATATTTAATGACGAATGGAAGATTAGCCTTGTGAGTACGTATGATCATGTTAATTTGCGGCTATGGGGGCTTCAGTTTAAGCAAGGTAAAGTCGTCGAGGCACTTTTAAGTGCTGAGCATGGACGTGCACAAGCTTTACGTGATCGTCTGGAGTTGATGTATGGGCTTAAAGGGTTACGTTTAGAAATAGGAACACTCTCTGCAACAACACCTGACGATCTTGGTTACCTACCATCAAATACAGCTTTTATAGGTATCAACGAGGAAGGAATATTTTTTTGGGTGAATGAGAAAGGAAAAGGAATCAAAACTAGAAGAACTCCGATCGATATCTCCGTCACAACGTATCTTCAGTCTCTTTTGGAAACCACACATGAAGAAATAGGTGTGAGAGCTCATGTTGATTGTGAAGATCACTCATTGATGACTGCATGGAAAGAAATACAAGTGAAAGCTGATGTTCATTGTGAAGATCGCTTAGTAAGGAAACCAATGGCATTACAAACATTGTACAATGTTGTTATCGACCCTATAAGAGACTTACTCCATAGCGATGAGCTTGTGATTGTTCCACAAGGACCTCTGTGTTTGGCGCCTTATGCTGCTTTCATGGACTTGGAATCAAAGTACCTCTGCGACACTTTTAGAATTCGTCTGCTTCCTTCCCTTTCTAGTCTTCGGTTAATCCAAAATTGTCCAGCCGATTGGCACAACAAGACTGGCGCTCTTCTCGTCGGCGATCCGTGGGTACAGGAGGTAGTTTATGAAGGAATGACGCTAGAGCAGTTAGAGTGGGCTGAAAAAGAAGTGCAGATGATTGGGGAAATACTTCAAACTGAACCTCTCATTGGAAAACAGGCAACAAAAGATGAAGTCTTAAGACGTATCTCCGCTGTTGCTTTGTTGCATATTGCTGCTCACGCTAAAATGGAAACAGGAGAAATTGCCTTGGCCCCAAACACAACGCGTTCATCCGTAAATTCAGCTAGGGAGGACTATCTCTTAACTACGAAAGATGTTTTAAAGGCGCAGATTAGGGCAAGACTTGTTGTACTTAGTTGCAGTCATAGTGCTTGCGGAAAGGTCAAATCTGAGGGTGTGGTTGGCATCGCACGGGCGTTTTTGGGTGCTGGTGCTCGCTCTGTTCTGGTGTCCCTGTGGGCGATTGACGACAAAGCTACTATGGAGTTCATGAAAGTTTTCTACCAACACTTAGTCCATGGACGAAGTGCCAGTGAGGCCCTGAATAAAGCCATGAAATCCATGAGAGAGTCTGACGACTTTAGCGCAGTGAAGTACTGGGCGCCTTTTGTTCTCATTGGTGATGACGTAACGCTAGAGTTTGAAGGCATCAATTAAATAGCAAGGTATTTTGGAATATATTTAATCCTGGGATCATAATCCCTGCATTTGCAATCGTCTTTTTAACTAGCAATTATTTTTTTCACTTATCGGGCAACGAACTCAACCGATGCCACGTGTAGCGTCGATCTCCTTATCACAGGTCAAGTTGACAGTAAGAAAGAAACTTTGTTTGGCAGTTAAACATTACAAAATTTATTTCAAATTTCGTAATTTCTTTATATTTTAAAGTGACGGTGATCCTGTTTGAACTCTTTCCGAATGATTGTAACTTACAGTCGAACCTGACGTATGCGACCACCCAAAATTTCCTGTCGCTTACGAAAGGTGATCGCCTAGGAGAGTCACCGGCTTCAGTTATGGTGCTCTGAGTGGAAACACTTTGGCATTTTTGGTGGGTGGTTGATTATAAGATTCAATATTCTTACCAGCTGAAATTAAGTCAGAAAAGTACCGTTAATCCTATATTTATTTGCCCAGGGACTTATTTATTTCAAGGACATTTGAGAGTCGGGGGGGCTTATTCAATTAACCGAATATCGTAGTCTCCATAAAGAACTAGAACACAAAGTGGAAAAGCTTTAGTTCGATGCCATACAGCCGAAGAACAACAACCAGTTCTAACCCTCAGTCCAGTAACAGTCGCGTGAACATTTAATACACCTATCATACGTCTATTGGTTAAGAGTAATTGTAGTAAGGCTTGAAGGAGAGAGAGAGGGAGCTTTCGCGCTTTCTTTCTTTGAAAAGGTTGAAGGGTTTGGAGGGGGGGGAGGGGCTTTATTAAGCATTTTCGGTTGTAAGTATCGGTTAATCTACAATAATGTTTCTCGTACGATGTGAGCTACGGGTTTTAATACTATTCTATGCTTGAAATGATTTGGAAGTCAGGCGCCAAAATATTAACTGATTGGCTTCGCTGGCTGAAATCACTATTCTTCTGCTAGCTTGCTAACGTTTCTCCTTGCTGTTTTTGTTGTATAGGTACCACGAAGAACGCAGTGATGCAATTCCTAATTATCTGAAATCGAAGA